CTTGGCCAAGTACAATTAAGGATTATCATAGTACCTTGGCGAAGTAAACTTAAGGATTCTCCTAGTACCTCGGCCAAGTAAAATTTCAGGATTATCCTAGTACCTCGGCCAAGTACAATTCAGGATTATCCTAGTACCTCGGCCTAGTACAATTCAGGATTCTATACCAATACCTCGGCCTAATACACTTCAGCATTATCATAGTACTTTGTCCTAGTACAATTCAGGATACTCGTAGTTTCTCGGTCCAGTACACATCAAGATTCTCGTAGTAAATCGGCCAAGTACAATTCAGGATTCTCAAGTATCTCGCCCTAGTACACATCATGATTCTCCTAGTACCTCGGCTTAGCACAATTTATGATTCTTCTAGTACCTCGGCCAAGTACAATTCAGGATTCTCTTAGTACCTCGGCCAAGTATAATTCAGAATTTTCCTAGTACCTCGGCCAAGTACAATTCAGGATTCTCCTAGTACCTCGGCCAAGTACAATTCAGGATTCTCCTAGTACCTCGGCCAAGTTCAATTCAGGATTCTCATAGTACCTCGGCAAGTACAAATCAGGATTCTCCTAGTACCTCGGTCTAGTAAACATCATGATTCCGGTAGTAACTCGGTCCAGTACAATACAGGATTCTCCGGTATCTCGGCCTAGTACACATCATGATTCTCCTAGAACCTCGGCTTAGCACAATTTAGGATTCTTCTAGTACCTCGGCCAAGTACAAATCAGGATTCTTCTTGTACCTCGGCCTAGTCTAATTCAGGATTCTCCTAGTACCTTGGCCAAGTACAATTCAGGATTCTCCTTGTACCTCGGCCGAGTACAATTCAGGATTCTCCTAGAACCTCGGCCAAGTACAATTCAGGATTCTCATAGTGCCTCGGCCAAGTACAATCCAGGATTCTCGTAGTACTTTGGCCTAGTACAAATTCAGGATTCTCAAAGTATCCCGGCATAGTACAATTCAGGATTGTGTACTAGTACCTCGGCCTAGTACACTTCAGGATTCTCATAGTACCTTGTCCTAGTACATTTTAGGATTCTGTACTAGTACCTCGATGTAGTACACTTAAGAATTATCATAGTACCTTGTCCTAGTACACTTCAGGATACTCATAGTTTCTCGGTCTAGTAAACATCACGATTCTCGTATCAAATCGGCCAAGCAAAATTTAGGATTCTCCTAGTACCTCGGCCAAATACTATTCAAGATTCTCCTAGTACCTCGGCCAAGTACAATTCAGGATTATCCTAGTACCTCGGCCAAGTACAATTCAGGATTTTCCTAGTACCTCGGACAAGAACAATTCAAGATTCTCCTAGTACCTCGGCCAAGTACAATTCAGGATTCTCCTAGTACCTTGGCCAAGTTCAATTCAGGATTATCCTAGTACCTTGGCCAAGTACAATTCTGGATTCTCCTAGTACTTCGGCCAAGTACAATTCAGGATTCTCCTAGTACCTCGGCCAAGTACAATTCAGGATTATAACCAGTACCTCGGCCTAATACACTTCAGCATTATCATAGTACTTTATCCTAGTACAATTCAGGATACTCGTAGTTTCTCGGTCCAGTACACATCATGATTCTCGTAGTAAATCGGCCAAGTACAATTCAGGATTCTCCAGTATCTCGGCCTAGTACACATCATGATTCTCGTAGTACCTCGGCTTAGCACAATTTAGGATTCTCTTAGTACCTCGGCCAAGTACAATTTAGGATTCTCCAGTATCTCGGCCAAGTACAATTCAGGATTCTCCTAGTACCTCGGCCAAGTACAATTGAGGATTCTCTTAGTACCTCGGCCAAGTACAATTCAGGATTCTCCTAGTACCTCGGCCTAGTTCAAATTCAGGATTCTCAAAGTATCCCGGCATAGTACAATTCAAGATTCTGTACTAGTACCGCGGCCTAGTACACTTCAGGATTCTCATAGTACCTTGTCCTAGTTCACTTCAGGATACTCCTAGTTTCTCGGTCTAGTAAATACCATGATATTCGTATTAAATCGGCCAAGTACAATTCAGGATTCTCCTAGTACCTCGGCCAAGTACAATTTAGGATTCTCCTAGTAACTCGGCCTCTTGTTTGTTCTACATCTTTAGGCGATATTGGAATTCAAATTTTTACTGGATCCTAATTAGTGTAAATCCGCATTCCAAAGTATACCAGTAGAAATTGTAATTCCAGGGTGGTTCTGGATTCTGAATACTGACTTGTACTGCAACATAAACATACCCTTCAACTATATTGTAGGCAGGGGCAGATCCAGGATTTTTAAAAGGGGAGGCGTACTTGCTGATAATTAAATATATACCAACAGGTTTTTGGACGAATTTATGCCAATTTTTAAAAATATATCGTGAAAAATGCAAGATGGTTTTTAAATTATTTTTTTTTGCGATTAAAGGGGCGTACGCTCTCGAACCCCGGTTGATCCGCCCTGGTAGGGGGTATCTAAGGATAATAAAATGTGATTGAAAAGCATTTTGTGACCCATACGCTTATCTACTGTAACATTTCATTTCTTTAAGTCTTTAAGCCTCGATATTTACCATATATGTATTCGTATTTTTTTCCCTATACAGATAGCGTTTAATTGATTTTGTATGTCATGGGTCATCTTTCAATTAAGGGGTTACAGAACACCTAAGGGAGTTAACTCTTTAAAATCAGCTGAACGTTTCAATCACATACTATTAGTAAACAGAAATCAAGCTTCTCGATGATCAAAAGTAGTGTTGTCAAACTGCTACATATCTAATGAAATTATTCCTGTAAATTGTGTGGTTCAAATTTCTTGATATTTTTTATATTTTAGTCATCAGGTTAAAGTAAATATTTTATCGAAATTTTATGAAAATTAAACGAGCCAAATATATTTTAGTCAAAGTGTTCGGTACCCCCTTAAATTAAGCAGGGGCATATATTTGTCAAAGTTAAAACATATATATACATATACAGTATGTCATTTTCTTTTTCTTTTCATTTTATTCATAAATCTAATTGTAACCAAATCATTGTAATCATTTGTATCTAATTTAACTTGATTGTTCGGCGTGTAATGGGCGTCTTTAATTGACAATAAAATATTGAACAATATTATAATAATGAATTCTGAGATACAACAACATGAAATATATTATAATAATGAATTTTGAAATACAACAACATGAATTATACAAAAATTTAAGTGAAATATATATTTATTTACATTAATTTACTTAACTATTAGTTGAGAATCACATGACACCCCGTGCATGACACTTTCGATAAGCGGAAACACATTGATATGATTATTATATTCTGCGGTTATGTCTCATAATTACAGAGATCATACGAGGTCAGAGGATACAGGGAGGGACGGATGGATGTTTACAGGAAAAGAAATTGTCATTGTTGAGCCGGAATCACACAAAATTTGACCCGGTATAAAAAGTTCCTTGTATACCTTAAGTTTGATGAATAATTCAAAAATGTTACTATGGTTATATAATAATGCATGAATGAAAAAGACATGTATGGTAAAGGTTAATTACGCTTTAATGACTTTAATTATAGTACTATCACTTTTTATCTGTCAAACTTCATGTATTAATCTCACCATTTTCGAGATTTAAATATATAATAAAGTTGTGTTACCCCTGATATAGACTTGCTTCATGTCGGATCCTTTCCTAATTTTCCTTTTTTTCTTCTTTCAATTTTACCATACGAGATTCTCATTATATTGACATCTGCAGAAGAAGTTCTCCAAGGGCAATTAGTATATAGGCAGTTCTCGGTAAACATATAAATTAGTTGGAAGAAATAAATAAGAGAAGGGAAATTGTACCAAGCAGTCTATCCTGATACTGTAAAGCAGTAGTCTCGGGTTATGCCAATTACACAATTAAGGGCGTACACTTAAAGAAAAAGAAACGGGCCCCACAGGCCAAAAACTTTTGATATGCCAGTAATCATTGGAGGATCCTCTTGGGGCGTACTCTTTGATCGCAAAAAAAAAATAAATATCATGTTTTTTCAGGATATATATAAATTTTTAGTATAACATCGTCCAAAAATATTTTCGAATCGCTTCGCTCGGCGCTATATCTTCAATTATCGGGAAATCCTTTCCCCCTTTCAAAATTCTTAGCTCCGCTCCTGGTAATATCAACAGTTCGAGATAAAACAATACAAACACATTTATTATGTATTAGGCCTCGTATTAATAACATACACACACAAAAAAAATTGTATATATAAGATATTGTATTTGTGTGGTAAGTAGAAGTGTTTCAAGTGAATAAGTCGACTCTTTGTATACATACACTTCAAACAATGTGATTGAAATCTAAAAAGTTCATTCGCCCATCTCCAGCCTTACAAATGAGGGTCTGGATGGGGTTTACAAAATAGAAAATAATAAAAAAAATAGAGAAAATGGTTAAAAAAAATAAAAACTAGGGAAAGAAGGTGTGCTTAAATATACAGATTTGAAAATAACGGGCACTAAAAAATAAAAAATGGCGAAAAATTGCACAAAACAATTTACAAAAATGAAGACCTTCCAATCAAGTCCATAAAACATAATTAACGTTTTTTGGCATAGAAAAAGAATAAGAATATTTTATTTCAAAGTAAAGGGCCCGATAAAGAGCTTTTATCACCATACAAACAAATACATATTAAATTGAGTAACACAGTTTTACAATAACTATATATAAGGCCAGGACAGAATCAGACACTAGTAATACAAATAGCATCTATAAAATATACCACTCAAAATAAGTATACGTGTGGCTAATTTGAACTTATTATCTTTGAACTTCTCCTTATATCCAGACAGTCCAGATTTTTAGATAAATACTTTCCCAAACATTTATATACATCTAGATTTTCTTGCGTAAATAGCCATGTAAACTTCGAAAGATTGTGATTGAAACTTGTTGCAAGTCAATGAAATTCCAGTAAAAAAATATATCGTCAGCTACCTTCCGAACGCCTCTATTATTAACATACGACTGTAACATCGTACAACAACACTGAAATCTGGGTCGAAATTAATGGGATTTTTGTAGTTGTGTGTAGGCTGTCGATACGTTTTATTGGGCGTTGACTTCGCATCGCTTTGTCAGACTAGTGTGTGTGTGTGATTGCCGTATTACAAAAATCGATTTCTAGTATTCATAACCAATTTTACGTCTGTAAAGATTAAGTGACAACATGGGACTCAGTGATGCAGCTTTGGCTATTAAATTAGCTCTAATTTTTATCATTGTTGGATTCCTCCTCCATATAATTGGATTTGGAGCACCTTACTGGTCAAGTGGTATATTTGCTAACGTAGGATTATGGCAGGCGTGTAGCAAAATTACAGATTCCTGTAGTGATATTGACACGGATATCAAGATCGGAGGTGAGTACTTGTAGGCTGGTGAATGTAGAGGGGTCACGGGTTAGATTCCTCTTTTTCAGTTTTTTTTAATTGACCCATGCAAAAATCTAGCCCCTCCCTGTTAGCAATTTCTGAATCCGCACAAGAGTTAGACGTCGGATAAATGTGAACTTTTGCTAAATGGCATACTCTGGATTTTCCAGGACTGAGAGAGCAAATATGCAATTTTCTAATTTTAAGTAAAATTCACTTTAAAATTTAAAAAGTTGCTAAGCCACCACCATAATTACATACCAATATAGGAATATTTTTTATGAACCCATTTTTTACATTTTGTGTAAATGATTGAAAAGAGAAATAACATGAACATGTCCCTGGCCTTGAATTACATCATCATTTTACATACCAATCTATTTGGATAGCTGTAATACATGTATAAATATAAATTACAAAAAATAAAGTTGCGAAAATAAGGTCCATATCCATTTAACATGAGCAACATGACGGGTCCCACATGTGGAGCAGGATCTGCTTACCCTTCCGGAGCACCTGAGATCACCCCAAGTTTTTGGTGGGGTTCGCGTTGCTCAGTCTTTGGTTTTCTATGTTGTGTTTTGTGTACTATTGTTTGTCTGTTTGTCTTGCCATGGCGTTGTTAGTTTATTTTCGACTTATGAGTTTGAATGTCCCTGTGGTATATCTTTCGCCTCTCTTTGAACTGTGGTGTTAATAATGTGCTATATTTCGTATTTTTGCTGGACCCATATTGGTGTAAATTAATTTGTAAATAAAATTATTATTATTAACATACTTTGTTGATAAAATTAAAATATATATTTTACTCCCTATTTATTTGCTATTACATGTACAATGTATGTATTACTGTTAACAAGGATTTGTATAGTAAGTCACCTTTTGATGTAGGGGGTCTCATTGGGGGGTTCTGATCCCGGATCCCGCTTACTGTTTTGTCAGATTCCCGTATCCCGCTTACACTATGTACGTCAGCAATTCTCATTTTTTTGTAATTTCCCGTGTCCCGTTAGACTTCATTTACCGTTTTCACGGCACAATAATTTGACTTTCACGTGTCACGCTTACAAAAAATCGGCAATCCCGGGTCACGCTTAGACCCCAATGAGACCCACGATGTACGCGTCTGGCATATTTGTAAGAATTTCCCCAATTGAAACTTAAATTTACTAATAAACATATTGTGAGTAGTCAAGGTCATACATAGTACGTAGTTGTATATAATAATTATCAAAGATTGCGGTTTAATTAAATTGGTATGTTAAACTAATTTAGACAGCTGAACTTGGAGCAAATTTAGAGGTTCTCATCTACTCATCGTGTGTCCATTTTTATTCCATTTATTTAATTTTTGACAGAACATAGACCTACAGCTATGTTGCATTATTTGATGGAGATTTAAATAGATTTGACAAATGTCTGCTGTATTTACCGTCAATACGACTGGTTTTAATTACCCTGGTACATCTTTATAAACAATAACATCCGATTCAGAAGTGCCATATACTTAAATATGGTATTATAAGTAACATTATCTTATATTTAATCTTAATTTCTCTTCTTTATCATATCGTATAAGTCCTGTATTCGATGATGGATATGATCAGAGGCAGAGTTAGAAGGGGCAGTGGGCCCGGACCCCCTTACATGTTCCTGGTTTTTTAAAATTCACATTTTACGGGGGGGGATTAGGTCCGGGCCCCCTTAGTAAACTGCTTATAGAACCGAAATAAGGTGCCCCCTCCCTCCTCCTTTTCAAAAATTCTGGATCCGCCACTGATGATGCTGCTTCTTGTGCATGATCAACGAACAATGAATATTATGGTTAACTTTATACGGTTATATTATAAAGTCATATTAATATATTCCACGTCATGTTTGAGCTGGGGTTTTTTTTTGTTGATTTTTATTGGGTATTATCTATATCATGTATATTATAAATGTTTAATATACAAATCTTTGAATTGATTTTGCCCATAATGGGTCCTCTATTGGAAATCAAATCGATCTATATATCTATCTAGAATTTATCTATAATATGAAGCCTGACATTGTGACCTCAGACGGCTCGCCGGGATTTATCTGAATAATTTATAAATGATCGCCTATACATTTGATATTGTTATATTTCGCTATAGATCTAAATACCATTCACTGCACTTCCCAACCAATGTTTTTACGTTTGTTTTTGTAATCGCGTTAAGCTCAGCACAAGGTCATTACGCTGCAGATTGTTGTTCCCATGAGAACTGAAACATTTATATGTGTAGATAAGTTGGTAATGTCGCTGTATGCATGACAGCTTCTTGAATATTTTGTTATCCATATTGATGCACAATACACATGTACTTCGTTGATAATGTATTGTGTGTACTGTGTAGTTTTGAATGATTGATGAGTAACACATACACAGGGGCGTTCACGTGTTCTTCTACAACATTTAACGTACTTTTGATATAAAGGCGAAGTTTGATGTGGGTGTGCATTGAATCAGCAGATCAAATTAAATTTATTTAAAACAGTTAACATGGTTAACTTAGATAAAATTCCTAGCACAACTTGATATTATATTGCTTTCTAATAAAAGCGAATTTTACCAAAAATGCTGTCGTTAATCATAGTATTTTTTTACCTTTTGTATATTGATCTTTGTAACTTTTTGAGGGTCAAGATAGGGCGTCTTCGTTTCTGTCTGTTTATTTTATGCCGTTTTTCTCTTTTCCTTATTTTGGCATCCCCTCAATGCATTATTTCCTATTCTTTGTATTTTTGTCCTATTTTTCAGGGCCGTAAATTATAACTTGTTTAATAGGAAGCATTATAATGGGCGGGGGAGTGCAGACGTCCGGCTGGGGTTTAAAAAACCACCCAATTCATATAATGATAAATTCGAAAATTATATATTCCATAAAAAAAATCATCACACTTTTATATATTTCCCAGCTATCAGACATATAACTGACATGTTAATTAGATGTTAACGTCATGGATCATTCATAATAATTAGATCACAAGATAACGACAACTTAAGAGGAGATGAATATGTATTTCCACGTGACATTTACATTTCTACACATTGTTCTATTATATCACCCTGAATTTGCACCACATTGTTATATTTCACATCTGAGCATAACTCAGTTGCGTAGATAATCCTAATTTCTTTTCTTTCTTCCTGTATGAAATCAGCCTCATTGGAATAAAGCAATACATCGACAAGAATAGGAGCAAAGTTGGTTCCCATAAGATTGCCGATTGTTTTTTTTTTAAAACACGTCCTCCAAACGTAACAAATATGTTGCCAGTTAAAAAATCCCTGTTTAACCCAAGACGTCTTGAGGGAGTGAATGATCTTCTCAAAGTGGGAATTTTGGAAAAGTTCGAGAGAAAATATAAGTATAAGGAAATAAAAAAAGTTATTATTTTGCTCGACTATCCCAATTTATCGGTTAAAATTTATCAGAAATACTGCATATGAGTTAATCCATCAAACGATGACCTTATATGTCCGGAATCATAGGTTATAGGTCACTTATGTCATTTTCTGAGTTTCTGAAACAAGGAAGGATGAATTTTCTCGGTTTATACATAAATTTTGTTGCGCTAATTTTTAAGTTGTTTTTGTTTTGTTTTGATTTTGTTCATAGTGATTTCATTACTATACGTGTACTGTAAAAGGAAACAGATTAGTTGACATAATCCGAATTGGAGTTTTTATCACCGAATTAGTCCTTACCATGAAGGGTGTCACTAGTGGAGCAGGATCTGAATACCCTTTCGTAGCACCTGAGATCATCCCTAGTATTAAGCGGGGTTCGTCTTGCTCAGTCCATAACTTTTTATGTAGTATTTTGATGATTTTTTTTGTCTTTATGCCTCTTTATGTCGTCTTTCGTTTTTGTAATGGCGTTGTCACTTTCGTATTTGTCATGGCGTTGTCACTTTCGTATTTGTCATGGCGTTGTCACTTTCTCTTTGGAATGTCCCCTTGATATCTTCTGTTTCTTTGTCACAAGTTATTATCCTTCCGAGGCAAAATATTCTCAAGATGATCAAATTATTATCCTTCCGAGGCAAAATATTCTCAAGATGATCAAATTATTATCCTTCCGAGGCAAAATTTTCCTAAGATAATCAAAATATTGTCTTTCCATGGCAAAATATTCCGAAGATAATCAAATTATTATCTTTCCATGGCAAAATACTCCCAAGATAATCAAATTATTATCTTTCTATGGCAAAATATTCCCAAGATAATCCAATTATTATCTTTCCTTGGCAAAATATTCCAAAGATAATCAAATTATTATCTTTCCATGGCAAAATATTCCCAAGATAATCAAATTATGAAAAAAGAAGATGAATAATTCAAATTGAATAATTAAAACAGTGAGGATAACAAACTGCTCTATGCGTGCTACATGTAGCTTCAGGACACATATAGTCATATAAGTTATTTATTTTTGAAGTTAAAGTTACAAACAAAGTTAAACAGATTTTCTCCTTCAGGGTCAAGATTTTATTCCGTTTTTTTTTTTCATCTATATAAATTTTGCATACTGTCGGGATAAAATTTTAATATTACGGCCCAGGTCACATGAAAATTTCCAACAAATCTATGGCATGCATGCTGATAAGAAAATACGGTAATTAAAAAAAAATGAAGCGTAGATAAATGTGCCGTGTGTGTGGCTGTTCTATTTTACCCCCTGTAAGATGAATCTAAAAATTTTCAATATATTTATAGCTTGCATGGATTATTTCTTAAATAACCTCTGAAAAAATTTGTTTAATCCTTATAATTATCAACTCAAACATTTATTATGCGTTGGCCACTATATTTACCGTGTAATCAACAGTTAACATTTCGTTACTAAGGAGTGAGCCGCAATGTTTTGCTGAAATCCATAAATGTGTGAATAATACGATGAAATAGACATGCACAACATCTACCTTAAAACTTTATTTTTATGAGAAATAATCCGATTTTGGACGTTAGGTCGTATAAGTAACGGAATAACCTTAAGTTTCAGCTTGAAAAAGATCATTCATAGAATTCGCAAAATTTTATTTTATTTTATTTTTCTATATTTTTGCCCGAGTTGAACGAAGTCCAAAACCAACTGATAGTATGGTGATTTTGGGTCGCGTGGGTGGGTTAGGGGGAAAGTAGGTGCCTTATTTCATGTATTTGTGTAATCAACTCCTCCTACAGCTTTAAACCCAGATCCCTGAAACTACATAGGAAGATTGTACATATGATATGTTGAAGATGTGCTCCTGCTAATATGGAAGTGTTTGAGGTAAACAATTTGTACATCTGTGAGTAAATATAGAGATATCGAGAATTTTATTTCGCTGTTGCGAAAGCAGCACGTCATATTAGAATCTCTAATATTCATTACATTTTAGCACTCATTATTTGCTATTCTTTATTTTTTAGCCTATATTTCTGTTTTCTCTTTATTTTTCTGGCCTATATTTCTCTATTCTTTTTTTTTTTTTTTTTTTGCTTATATTTCTCTAATCTTTTTTTTTTTGCCTATTTTTCTTCAGTATTGGCCCATTATTCACTATCCAGGCCCTCATATATCATATAAATGTATAAACCCATGGGTTCATACATCTATGCATATATATAGACGGAAAATTAAGTTCTCATATATCAACATGATGAAAGATAATGGATTTTATCTGTTTCAGTTGGAGACTGGTTTACTGCAGTGAAGACCTTTGAATGTTTCGGATTAATCGGATCTATTGCCTGTTTAGTATTCATTGGTATATTTATCTGCGTAGGGAGATGTTCTGGAAGTAAATGCATCGCCGTTTTTAATGTCATCTTATTATTAGGAACTGGTAAGTCTATAAGCATATACACATGTATATGCACAATCATACATACGTATTAATTATAAAAAAAAGGAAATATACGTCAATTTGACAGCAACCCAACCACACATATAAATCAAAAACTTTCAATGGACAACAATGTTCAACGAAAGACAGTTGTCTATACATTATATCAAGATCTTTATCATTACGAGGCTATTAATACTAAGTAGTGATTAATTTTAACGGAAGCAATCAAAGATATGCTAACAACAATCATTTCTATACATAGCGATTCATCATTTGTTCATATTGAGATATGACATACACCAACTATTCTGACGAGGTTCCAGACATATGCATGATATGTGGCGGGGTTAAACTAGTAATTTGAAACATCTTCCTTAGTGAAGATTAGTTAAAGGAAATCTATGTGTGTATATACATTTGATTGGACATAGAAAATTATATTCATCTGAATATCACAAACATACTAGCCGATTAAAAAAAAAAAATAATAATTGTTAAGATATATTATTTATTCAAATGTTCTCTTATACCCTTGAGGCATCGTCCCCTGGTATCAACTGCATTCAAGTTACCTATGATGCTTCCTTGTTTGCTTTTGATACAGGTAGGAAAGAGACATTTACACACATTTTACATGCCTATGGCCCATAAGGTATCGCCCCCTGGTGTCAGCTGCCTTTAGGAAACCATAATGCTTTCCTATTTGCTGCTGACACAGGATGAGTCATGGACATGCTTAATTTCTACTTTCTTTTTGGCTAATTATTATATATTTAATTGATCCAACTTTTTGTGTACTATACATATGTGGATATCTATTTTTCTTTTTTTCTTTTTGGGCTGCTTGTTTGTTATCTATATCAACCACACTTGCAATAAAATGCATTAGTATTAAAAAAAAAAACATACTATAGATTCTTTATCTACGTATTCTTTAAGAACTTAAATAGTTCTCGTTTAACTTTTTTTTTATCTCATTGTTCATGTTGTTTGTATTGTATTATGAAAAAATTATTGATGTTGTAATGTTTATGCCCTTTGGGGCCCATAATTGGAAATAAAATATCTTATCTTATCTTATCTATCTTAGTAATTTGAGATCTATTCCATCCCCCTTTTAAATCGTGATCAGTAAATTATTAATAAAATGTACATTGAAGAATATACATGAACAATAAATACCAGTAAAGGAAAGGCATTCTAAAACAACAGTATCATGAGTATAAAAGATGAATAAAACAAAATTATATCACATATTTTACCGCATAAAAGGATGCTGGTTGTTACAAAAAGCAAGCTCAGAATGTATATGTATGTTTTAATTTTTATGCCTCCGCCGTAGCGGAGGGGGCATTAAGTTTTACCCATGTTCGTCTGTGCTTCCGTCCGTACGTCCCGAAATTGGTTTCCGTTCTCTTACTTTAGTTTGCAACAACCATATGTTATGACACTTACACACAATGCTCATTACCACAAAACACAGATCAAGTATGAATTTTGGTGGCGTCACTTTAACCGTTCTAGAGTTATGCCCCTTTACAAATGGAAAAAAAAATGCTGAATTTTTCGTTTCTGTTCTCTAACTTAAGTTTGCCTCAGCCAAATGTTATGAAACTTATACACAATGCCTATTACCACAAATCTTAGATCAAATACAAATTTGGGTAGCGTCACTTTTACCGTTCTTGAGTTATGTCCCATTATAACACTATATGCAAGCGGGGGCATCGTCTGTGTTTCATGGACACATTCCCCATTTATTTTGTGTAATAAAGTATCGGTAGTGGCATTTAAATTATCATTTTTGTTTTGTTCTCCTGTACTTATCAAGTACATAAACTTAAAATCCAAAATCATCCTAGTACCAATCTGGATATTTCAATTTCTACTTGTATTGGATTAAAATTTGTATAAATCAGAATTGAATTTTAACCAGTCATTCGGGTAGATGGAAATTCAATTTGTACTAGGTGAATTCTGGATTCTACTGAATTCCGATTTGTGTAATGTAACATACACAACAAATATACATACACTATACACTATACCTATAAAGATTAAATACATACACACATGCAAGTCATAAATTCGTAAAAAAAAAACATGCATACACCTTTAGAAAATATACACAAATGTAGGAAATCGCAGTCTGCAGACTTTTCGTTAGTTCCTTGCCCACAGTGATTGTGCTTTTCTTTGACGCTCGAATGTAGACTGTATGGCTCGTAATAAATGTACGTCATGCAGCTATGACTATTACTATAATGTCCAAATTGTTTCATTTTGACTTTGGAATTGTCTACAGCGTCTGCAATGTATATGTACATTGTGGATTAATAGGAGGATGTGAAACATAAATATAATTCATTATTCCGAAAACGTTCGCACTACATTGATTGATTGTAGCTTGCTTACCGTCCAGTGGCAAATACTTCATGTATAATAAAGATGAGAACAAAAAAAGTACTTACAAAAATACTGAACTCCATGGTTAATTAAAATAAGGGACTGGCAAAAACAAATACTCGACTATATCAAACAACGGAACGAATGGAAAACAACTGTCATATTCTTGACTTGATACAGGCATTTTCCAAATGAATGCAATATAAAATATAATTAATACAGTAGATAAGTTGATCGGAGTAAAGGGCGGGAATTTTGGACGACCGTTAAAAATCTAGTGAAACATCTAAGAATTTACTCTTCTTTGAAGATATAAGATCTTCACTTACGTACTTGCATATGATTAGGCTCACCCTATCACTACTTTGCACCAATTTGAGGAAAGTAAAAACAACAGTATAAGTAGATATAATTATAGATGTAAATCCATCATCCATTTGAAGTTTTCTGTGTTAGTCTTTTAATGTTCGTATTAGATGCATCTACATCCTGTGATGTAATATATAACCTCTTATTAGTTTCTTGTCAAATGCATGGACCTCTGAATCCAAGGTATCGTTATATCTGTTTGGTTTCTAATAGACACTCCCTGTCTTCATTCTCTATTCAATCTCTTTATTGGTATATTTATTATCAAAGCTTCTTCAGTAGTGTCTCTTGTGTGATCATTGAACAATACCGATTTCTTATAATAAAAGGTGAAAGCTTCATTTTTCACTTTCATGTTAATTGAACTTTTATGAGAATAGCACAATTTTGTCAAATTTCGAGATATCAAATGCATTAAAAAAACATTGGTTAAGTTATTTATTAATATATATTGTGTATTCAAACCAGGGGCGGGTTCATGCGGGGGCTTGGCGGGCGTGCGCCCCCCCTAAAATTTGCAAAGCATGGGTTGTCCTCAGCTTAACAAAGAATATTTCGATAATTTTGCCTCAAAAAAAATTTTCGCCTCGCTACGCTCGGCGACCCTTTAAATTTCCACCCCCCCGTAACCTAAAATCTGGATCCGCCCCTGCAAACAGCACACACCTAAATCAGTCCTTCCGGATATGTATGAACAAAAATACTTGCATTGAATTTAACTGAATACACGGTCTTCACATTAGATCTCATAAACATGATACAGATTGTTTGTGTATATTTGATTACAAAGAACCATTGGCTTTATACATGTTATAGAAGAAATTTATCTACAAAAACTTCAAATGTTTTTTCTTCACAATTTCGAAATATGCAAAATGAAAGAAAGAGATTGTTTCCTCTTACGGTTTTGCATTGCACACATGTAGCTATGCAAATGTCGAGTTTTGAACCCATACACTGAAGCAACACAAACCTAACCCCCCCCAAAAAAAAACAGAATACCACACACATGTAGTGACATCAAACTGAAACGTAGAATATATTAAACATGCTGTGATCATGTGATATCAAACAAAAAGATGTAGAATATCATAAAAAATTGGCGTTACTGCAATCTGATTAAGACACATATCATCTGTCAAAGCTTTGCTTATAAGGATCTGAAAACACTCCGTTTTACATTCGGTTCTGGTAATTATTACATCAGCCAATGCAATTTCAGCCATCAATTTTTTCGAGGTCTGTATTACTCCGACAAAACCAGAGGATCCCGAAAGGTCTTTAAAACAGAAAGTAGAACGGTGCATTAGCAAAGCTTAGAAACATGATCTGTATTTTAATCAGACTGCATATAATGCATGCTTCTTACTTTCATAAAAAAAAATCGTTATTAAATATACATATCAGAATACTGAACAAATGCTTAGGAACCAAAAGAAGCAATTATAATTACTGACGAGTCTGTGTAATTTCTTCTTCTTTTTACATATATATTTCCACGATACCGGTAGTTTCAGGGTCGGATCAATGATTTTTGAAAGGGGGTAATTCCCAATAGTGGACGATTTTATACTAAAAATTTATATACATCGTTAAAAAACATCATATACTTTTTTTTTTGCGATCAAAATAGGATTCCACCCTCTTCGCCCCCACACCTTGATCCGCCACTGAGTTTCTCCTGAACTTATGTTATTGCAATTTTATCATAATACATTCCGTCTTGTTCTTCTTACATAGTCTGATATATGTTTATGTTTTTTTTTATTTTCAAATTACAATTCTGCTTACTTTGTTGGATGTAACTATATTTATTCTCTTTACAGGAGCTTGCATTCTGGTCGCCATCATAATCTATGCCTCCGAGTCCAACAACTTAGCCTGGGCATTTGGTCTGGCTACTACTGGTGGGGTTTGTTTCGCTCTTGCCGGAATATTCATGATAGTTTCAATGTGCCAGTAAGCACCATTAAATAGGGAAAACAAAAACTATGTATGGATTTCACGTGACAAATTTATTTTCTGACGATAAGAATATGGAAATAATAGATATAAATTTCTATTGTAGGATATGAAAAATTATGTGTACAATCAAAATTTTCTTCAAAGATATGACCGCTTTTAATTGTTTTTCTTAAAACATAATAATAAATTTGCCACAAACATTGTGAGCTTTTTGTTGAAAATCGTATGCCACTTTAAATTAGATTTATAGTAATTTTGAAAGATGTTAAAACTTCTGTGGCCTTTAGAAATAACTAAATCTGCCTTATTTGCAATGTATTTTGGTTATGCATCTATCGTTCATCTTTTCTGGTGGAGCATGAATTTTTTCCCTCGACTTAAATGAAAAACAACATTTTTTCAATAGCAATACAGGAACAAAAACTTAGAAAAAAAAATCAAATATATTTTTTCTTTTTTACTTTTCAATGGAAACAATTTTTTTTCATATCCCATTTGAAATTTCGAAATCAAACCATTTATTTAATAAAAACATTTTCTCGCCTCAAAATAAGAATGGTTGTTGCCTTAGAAATTAATGTTGATACGCATAATTTTTAGAATATTTTTCTCTCCAGAAAATTGTATATATTTTGTATGTGTGTATAAACATGATAAATGATACATAACTATCAATGCATATATAGCTACACTTTGTCTTGCCATAATGTATACTATTTTGAGAATATACTTACTATTATTGAATATTATTTGCAGCATTTGAGTGCAATACTCAGTCCATTACCTCATTGTGTAAAATGTGCTTTAATATAGCTTTGATTGTTTGTATACTGTATATACATTCAGTGTTTGTACAGGGAAACAAGATGCAAACTGGTACAACAAAGCAACTACTGTTCCTTTGCTCTGTATTATTTTATTAAGTACATAAAGTAATTTCGAGTCATCTTATCCCGTTTTCCCATTAAGTTTGGAACCAAATTTCTGAACATCGGCGTTCAATACTTTCCGTCAAACAGTCCCCCTTCCTATTTGTAAGACTAACTTGTTTTTTTATTGGCATTCTGTCTTCTCTATGAATAAGTTGAAACTTAATGTGCTAAAGATTTTTCAAAATTAGTAATTTAGTATTATTTGGGGGAAATATAAAACATTTTTTAGGTCAATGTTGGTTTTTTTTTAATTAAAAATTCAAATTGAAAAATGTATGTAATTATAAAGATCTTGCTTGGCATGAAAAATATTACTGATTTAAAATCAATTAACTATTAGTAACGATAACCCCGCTCTGAATTGTGGTTTTCAACCTCATCTTCATATAAAATATATGCATTATTGTTTTTGTTTTACATCAGTTTTACACTTAGGCGCGCTTGGGACAGAACGTTCCCTTTTTAATATAGTTTTGTGTAATGAAAAACAAACAAACTGCTGCTTCCAATGTAAGATTGTGTAAGTAGGATGAAAAATACGGCAAAGAAAGGAAAACCTGCTGAAATGATATTTTTTTCATGAAAATGTCTATCACGTTGAAAATAATAAAAGGGGAACCAAGCCCCAAACGCCTTTGTTATTTTAGTGTATGTTGATATATTTTTGCATTTATATTATACTTTTTAGTGTGAGATATAGTGTACAAGTATTGTTTTTTTATATATGCAATTGTGTGTTATTACTTTTTGTTACATAAGTAGGCATCTATTATATATACATATTACTTTTCTTACTTTAAAATAAAGGCTGATTAACCGAATGTATTTATTTCCTGTGAAACATGAAGACACAAAGGGACAATCAAATATCATACCAGTAAGTCTAACAAGGGAAAACAACATGAACAAGCCTTTGTCGAATGAAGAAAGAAAAAAAAAAGAAAGACAAACAGCAGAACAACAATCATCGAACAATACAAACCAACAACACAAACTAGAATTATACTTTGGTGCTCCGGAAGGGAAAGAGTTAAACATTTGATGGTTGAATTTCTAGTTTTCAAACTTCGTACTCAATGTAGTTTCACCAAGAAAACCTAATACCTGATCACGGATGAGGTAGTAAACATTCATCAACCTAATACCTGATCACAGATGAGGTAGTAAACATTCATCAACCTAATACCTGATCACGGATGAGGTAGTAAACATTCATCAACCTAATACCTGATCACGGATGAGGTAGTAAACATTCATCAACCTAATACCTGATCACGGATGAGGTAGTAAACATTCATCAACCTAATACCTGATCACAGATGAGGTAGTAAACATTCATCAACCTAATACCTGATCACAGATGAGGTAGTAAACATTCATCCACCTAATACCTGATCACGGATGAGGTAGTAAACATTCATCAACCTAATACCTGATCACGGATGAGGTAGTAAACATTCATCAACCTAATACCTGATCACAGATGAGGTAGTAAACATTCATCAACCTAATACCTGATCACGGATGAGGTAGTAAACATTCATCAACCTAATACCTGATCACGGATGAGGTAGTAAACATTCATCAACCTAATACCTGATCACAGATGAGGTAGTAAACATTCATTAACCTAATACCTGATCACGGATGAGGTAGTAAACATTCATCAACCTAATACCTGATCACAGATGAGGTAGTAAACATTCATCAACCTAATACCTGATCACGGATGAGGTAGTAAACATTCATCAACCTAATACCTGATCACATAAACATTCATCAACCTAATACCTGATCACGGATGAGGTAGTAAACATTCATCCACCTAATACCTGATCACGGATGAGGTAGTCGAAACTCATCAAAGATACCAGGCCTATAATTTGGTACGTGCGTCTGCGCGTAGTATATCTGAAAATTTGCAGTTTGCTCTGTTTTTGTAGTAGAATAAAACAACATGAGTTGACTAGGGTATATATATATATATATAAATATGGTCACCCTAGCCTGCATGGAATTCTCCAATTCGACAGTAGAACCTTTGCTAAAGAGGAATGTCCGTTTGACTACGGAATGTGCAAATACTCAGTTACATTAATTCTGTTATCTCTTACAGGACTAGTGCCAAGCTCTGTGCACGGTAAAGCACCCTTGCAACAACAGTTTTGAGGACTGTAGGTTGCCTGATGCAATGGAAAATGTATGCCCCTATAGAACATACTACCCTCATGTTTCAGTGGAAGTCGAAATTCCCGCCTTTCATGAAGATCGACTTACTTTGCGGAACCAACCAATTGGATTGATTGTTACATAAGTTTATCCTATCAGTATAGATATATTATTAACAATTTTCATTTTTTTCATGGTAAGCATTATCTAAAATAGTTAAGTTCTTTCGAAGAAAAACATGTTTGAGATAGGTTTCCCCAAAAGGTCAAGGTAGGATACAACATGCACCGTAGTTCGAAAATCACTGATAGCTTAAATAAGATACACGCTTAGTTGAAATGGCTTTAAATCCAATTAACCCGTGACGGGACCAAGGGGGAAATAAAGTCGTCATTTTCTCCAACTTGGGCAAAATTCGCAAGAGGCATCCGATTTGCTCTGCTGGATGTATAAATATGCTGCCACGCGGTGCTGGAATGGGACGTTCAATCAGATGCCTAGTTTAGGGAGAGCGCCACGCTACCAGCACATAGTCAATAGGAGGCTGTTGCAAGGATAATTTGCTTTACAACCTCGTTTTCCAGTGCAAGTCAATATGCCCGCGCTTCATCCCGATCGACTCATATTACAGAACATACCTATTGTAGTTATGTTTTACCTGTTCTCTAATGCCAGTCTGCCTCTCATATATTCGTTAAGCACATAGCAATCAGAACGAGGCGAAAGATACCAAAGGGATAAAACGAAATGACAAAAACAAAAAACGACAGAAAGACAAACAACAGTACACAAAGCACAACATAGGAAACTAATCAAAACTAACAACCAAACCCATTTGTTCTGGAAAGGATACTAGTACTTCAACAACCCCAAATTATGAACTTTTCTCATCGGTTGGCGTCCGTCATTTTTATACGACCGCAAAAATTTTTTGCGGTCGTATATTGGTATGACGTTGGCGTCGTCGTCGTCGTCGTCGTCGTCGTTGTCGTCGTCGTCGTCGTCCGGCGTCGTCCGAAGACACATTGGTTTTCGCACTCTAACTTTAGTTTAAGTTAATGGATCTCTATGAAATTTTACCATAAGGTTCAATACCACAAAAGGAAGGTTGGGATTGATTTTGGGGGTTATGGTACCAACAGTTAAGGAATTAGGGGCCAAAAAGGGGCCAAAAATAAGCATTTTTGTAACGTCCAGACATAACTTGTGTGTTAGTGTATGGATCTCTCTGACATTGTACCACAAGGTTTATTATCACACAGGGAATGCTGGGATTGATTTTGGGGGTAATTGCCTCAAAATATTAGGAATAAGGGGCCAAAAAAGGGGCAAAAAACAAGCATTTTTCTAGTTTCATGACAATAACTTGTGTGTAAGTGTATGGACCTTTCTGAAATTGAACTACAAGGTTCCATATCACAAAGGGAAAGCTAGAATTGAGTTTGGGGGTAATTGCCCAAAACGTTAAGGAATAAGGGGCCAAAAAGGAGCCAAAAATAAGCATTTTTCTAGTTTCCAGACAATAACTTGTGTTCAAGTGTATGGATCTCTCTGAAATTGTACCACAAGGTTCCATATCACACAAGGAATGCTGGGATTGATTTTGGGGGTAATTGCCTCAAAATATTAGGAATTAGGGGCAAAAAAAGGGGCAAAAAACCAGCATTTTTCTAGTTTCATGATAATAACTTGTGTGTAAGTGTATGGATCTTTCTGAAATTGTACTACAAGGTTCCATATCACAAAGGGAAAGCTGGAATTGAGTTTGGGGGTAATTGCCCAAAACGTTTAGGAATAAGGGGCCAAAAAGGGCCAAAAATAAGCATTTTTCTAGTTTCCAGACAATAACTTGTGTTCAAGTGTATGGATCTCTCAGAAATTGTACTGCAAGGTACCATACCACAAAGGGAAGGCTGGGATTGAGTTTGGGGTGATGAATCATAAGGGGGTTCAAAAAATTTGGGGGATGGGATTTTTTTTTTCTTTTTTTCCTTTTTTTTTTCTTTTAAAATTTTCCATTTTAAGTTGGTTATTTCTGTTTTATATTTAAAAGCAAATAATAATGATATGGTAGGAGATACACACCAAACAGGATGTTTTAATTATTATATAATAAGTATTGTGCAATAGCATGAAATTTTCAATTGCACAGTATTGCACAATAGCAAGAAATCTTCAATTACACAGTATTGCGCAATTGCAAGAAATCTTCAATTGCACAGTATTGTGCAATAGCAAGAAATATCCAATAGCACAATATTGCGCAATAGCAAGAAATTGTCAATTGTACAGTATTGCGCAATAGCAAGAAATATTCAATTGCACAGTATTGTGCAAAAGAAGATACTTCGTATAAATTGCTTATTTCTTGACCAATTTCAATGGGGATTTATTCTTGAATTCTTGGGGTTCTTTAATATGCTGATTCTAACCGTGTATTAAGTTTTTGGATTTTGGGCCCCGTTTTTAAATTGGTCCACATTGAGGTCCAAAGGGTCCAAAATTAAACTTTGTTTGATTTCATCAAAAATTGAATTATTGGGGTTCTTTGATATGCCGAATCTAACCGTGTATTTAGATTCTTAATTTTTGGTTCCGTTTTCAAATTGGTCTACATTAAGGTCCAAAGGGTCCAAAATTAAACTTAGTTTGATTTTAACAAAAATTGAATTCTTAGGGTTCTTTGATATGCTGAATCTTAACATGTATTTAGATTTTTGATTATGGGCCCAGTTTTCAAGTTGGTCCACATTGAGGTCAAAAGGGTCCAAAATTAAACTTTGTTTGATTTCAACAAAAATTGAATATATGGGGTTCTTTGATATGCTGAATCTAACCATGTATTTAGATTTTTGATCTTTGGGCCCCATTATCAACTTTGTCCACATTGAGGTCAAAAGGGTCCAAAATTAAACTTTGTTTGATTTCATCAAAAATTGAATTCTTGGGGTTCTTTGATATGCTGAATCTAACCATGTATTTATATTTTGGATATTGGACCATAATAGGTGAATGTCCAATTTAAAATTTTTAAGTTCTTAGACCACATTCATTCTGTGTCAGAAACCTATGCTGTTTCAAATATTTAATCAGAATCCAAATTCAGAGCTGTATCAAGCTTGAATGTTGTGTCCATACTTGCCCCAACTGTTCAGGGTTCGACCTCTGCGGTCGTATCAAGCTGCGCCCTGCAGAGCATTTTATTCCATCCGTCAGTATGTTATGTCTTTCACTACTAGTTTTCTTACCTGAGTCTATTCTGGGTTACAAGTGAAACTAAATCCATCTATATTTTAAGTTCTTGCAATAACGGCACTTGAAATTATCAACTTTCATGAAAATTAGTAGTTTCAAAAGGGAATAACTTTCCCTTAATGGTTAAGGTCGGATACAATATGTACTTTAGTTCGACAACCACTGCTAACTTGAATGTGACACACGCTATTTTAAATAGTTTTCAAAACAAATTAACTCGCGAGGGTACCCAGGCCTATTTGTGGGGCACGACTCGCAAGAGGCATCCAATTAGCTATGATGGAGGTATAATTACGCTGCCACGTCGAGTCGTAATGTTGACGATAAGGACATACAATATAGTTTGATCCTGCAAGCAGATTTTAGTGAAATCATTTGAAATATCTTCTTTACAAAAATATACTCTAAATTTGTGTAACAATGCTTTGAAAATGAATCATTTTATCAAATTTTCATTATCTTAGAAAAAAACGGCAGTTTCATATTTATCTAATTTTGAAAAATCATCGGGATTTGATCATAAAAATTGGCCAAAATAGTCTTCATACATAATCAGGTCAAATGTCTGTATAATAAAGAAGGGTACATGTAATTGAACGAAAGAATATGGGTATCCATCCATGACACAAAATCAGTAAATGTACAGCACAAGAAGAAAAGAACAGCGCTTTTATTGCTGTTCATCATCTCAAAATCACAGTGAGGCCTTCTACACGGAGTAAAAAAACCTCTCACTTAACTGCAAGTTTACGACGACCCCTAGCACCGGTTTGAGCGGATTTTTTTGCAAACTGACGATCATGTACTCGTTTTTAAGCTTAAGATTACAATCCGTTGAAAATGCATCTTTTCCTAAAATGTCACTGCTTGATGTCGCGAAAAATAACATTTTACGTAGTTAGCGACGTCATCACCTCCCCTGCTGTATCGTTTGCCTCGTATAGGGAGAGTGGTTGTTTTCCTTGTTTGCACTGAATATTCACTTTTCTATGTTATACCACAGACTAACCACTATACAAAGCTTGCCTTACCTTGTTTTGGATGAATTTATCCTTTCTGAAAGTTTTTTCTTATTTTACTATTCATACTTGTTTTTAAGTATGGATAGATAAATAAGGAATATTTTACAAGACTGTAGTTCAGTGGTTGTCGTTGGTTCATATCTGTCATATTTTTTTTTATAAATTATGTTTCACATAAGATTCACGTGAAACTCACATGAACTCATTTCACGTGAGTTTCACGTATAAGCTCGTTTGAGGTGAAATTCACGTGAGATTCACATGAATTTGAATTCACGTGCAATTCATGTGAATGAAATTTGCCTGTGTAGGTCATCGTATTGCCTTCAAAGATGAGCAAAGTCCATATTACATAGCAAGCTATGATAGGCGCCGACACAAGAACATGTAAAACTGTTTAAACGAGAAAACTAACTGCCTGATGTATGTACATAATAATAAACTAAAAATAATTAAAAATATAAAACAACGAACTAAAGCCACTGAATTACAGACTACTGTTTAGGACAACCACATACAAGATGTAGCGGGGTTAAGCATGTTATCGCACACCAACCCTTTTCAAACATGGGTAAGCAACGCAACAGCAAAATATAAGATCAAACTGTTTAAAACAATAAACAAAAAACAAATATATGATATTCAGCAACAAACGACAACAACTGAGTTACATGCTTCCGACTTGGGAAAGGCACACATATATAGAATACTGCAGGGTTAAACATGTTTGCGGGCGCCAAAAAGTCCTTCAAGTCTACCATGGGACCATGCAATAGTATATATAGAACAACGTAAAAATCAATTAAATAGGGCTTGACTCATCAGATCGATGTAAAGAACACAAAAAAACTAACAAAGTTATTAACGACACAAAGCACCAATCTGTGAGTACTCTCAGTTATTGAAAGCTAGTTCGAAGCCAATACAATAACAACTATCAAAAATTCATTTATTCAAGACAAATGATATACTCTTGTAGATAAGACTTATTTTCCAGGCATAACCCCTAAAGACTTGAAGGAAATTCCGTTTTGTCAATGTTCATTAAAAGAAAACTTCATGCATAATTGTAAGTTGCTACCGAATATTATCTCTTCAAAAGATTCATTGGTGAAATATGTAAATGTATGTACACAAATGACTTCGTAAATTATTAACTGGTATGCTGTTGCATTGGATAAATGGATACTTTATGTTATCAATATAGTCAGATTTACAAAATGTCAGGCAATTATCTCCAAGTGATAATGTAGATATATATGTCCGTAAAATATACTTTTTCACTTTTTTGGTCTTTTGGAAAATGTTGTTTGTGCTGTATTTAGACCCCTCTAACAAGAAATTTGTTTTGCATGCACACGTATAAAAATTGCGGTTTTTATCCAACGCAATCATAGGTTTGAACGTTGTTTTCAATTTAGACTTGTTTATGTCCGTTTATGTATATATAATGAGGTATTATTTTCATTAAAGAGGTCCTTAAACGTAATAACTCACAGATATAAATTCTGGTTTTCCTGACACTGATAGGGAAAGCCTTTGCCCTTTGCTGAATGGAGGATATTTCTTGACCTTTCAATGAATAAATTCATCATAGATACCAGGCTTATTATTTTGTATCCCGGACTGAAATGGGCGTTGCATTACCTTTCACCGAAATGCGTGATTGTTGACCTTTTACAGAAATGGGCGTTACTTGACCTTTCAATGAGATGGGTGTGTTGATCTTACAATATTAAAGCTGCTTTATTATTTTCGATTTTCTTGGTATGGCTGCTTGTTTGATCTTACACTGACAAAATTCTTTGTTGACCTTACATTTATATAACTGCTTCTAGACCTTAACCTGACTTTGATTGCAAACGCATAAAAAGAAAAATATAAAAGTCAATGATTATATAAATAAGATAAAAGCAGACATGAACAACACTCCTGAGTTAACCCCTCATCTGCCTCATTTAAATTGTATAATTATACTATAATACTATAAGGTTATAATTCCCTTCGGTGAAGTTGGCATTAACGTTCAGCTTTGACGTTCAGATCCTTTTGGTATTTTACAAATTATTCATATAGAATCTAGAACGTACCTGCTATCTGTACCATTGAGACGTTAAGAATCTACACCTAGCTCGTTTAGGTTAATGACTGTTGTGCAGACGAAATTTTGTACACTATGTATGTAATGCAGTATACTGTGTTCTAAATTTAACTTGCTAAAACTTAAGATACGGTTGCTATTACGATGAAGTTTTAGACTGTTATATGACTTGATTATTGATCTTACGTCACAGAATCGCAGAATTTCCAAGAATTTCGTGTGTAATGAGACACGTGCTGTAAACAGTGATCGAACATAATCCTCCAGTCGTATCTTTGTAAAACATGGGACTCACAGATGTAGCTTTTACCATAAAATTAGCTTTTTATTTTATATTATTTGGATTTATTCTCCATACAATTGGATTTGGAGCACCCTACTGGGCTACTGGATATAACAGTCATGCTGGACTATGGCAATATTGCTCTAGATCTACAGGCATATGTGTTACCATAGATATGTCATTAATGGACCGTGAACGTAAGTAGATTAATCTGGGGCGGATATCCAGGATTTTTGAAGGGGTGATTTCATAAATTGGATTACATACCGCCGTGCGAAGCGATGCAAACAATTTCTAGGACAATTTTATGCCAAAATATCATATAAATTGTGAAAAAACAGGATGTAATGATTTGTTTTGGCGATCAAAGAGGGGATAGCGTACGCCCTTTACGCTCCTTGGATCCGCCACTGGCGATAATGTGTGGGCATGATGTCTGTCACGGAAAATAAGCGATTTAAAGTGGGAGCTTTAATTTATGATATTTGTGCATTATGACATTTGTAGGAGAGGACCGTTTGGTTTTCTGTAAAAAAGGGGTGGGGGATGGCAGGAGGATTTTGTATATTAATATCCTGGCCTTGTTGGAACTTACGAGAAACTTTACCCAGGAAAAGATGGAAATGAATATTCTACAACACAATATGCAGGAAATATGTATGTACAAAAGTGGTAAAAAATCAAAAATCAGCATGCATTGCAACAGATAAAAAATGAATAGTCAATCCGCAAAAAAAAATCCTCTTTGCCTCCACCAGAATATTAAGGTGAGCTTCAAATGTGTGAATCGTACCCTGCTTCTGTTACCCTTCCCGATAGTACTAATACCACAAAAACGAGATAAAATTATCTTAACATGTTATTTAATACCCCGCGGACAAAAGTAAAGAGACATACGTACATTTTATTTTCCAGATTTTGTCCGTCCGTTCGTCTGTTCGTCCGACCTGTGTCAGGTTAAAGCTTTAGTTTAAACTCGCTCACAACTAAGTTGTTACCATACATCTCAAAATTTAAGGAAGCATCCACTTCAATTGATCCTTGGCTACGTCTCGCCTCTTTAAATTTGAAGAGACAATCAAAGGGTGTCATCAACATTATATTTTTAAAGAACAAAAAGCTAATAAAAGCCAATAACTAACTCTTCCCATTTTCTTAAAGAAATGAATTGTTTTTCTTTATTTTAATAGTCTTATAATTGACACGTTGTTTCGTAATGACACAGCGGGTGTTTTTTTTATGATTTTGTATACATAGAGTACATGTAAATCATTTACACTATTTCGATAATTATGAAAACAAAAGACGAGATTCCATATTCCGTTTTATGAATAAACTGGGCGGTCGACCTAGATTCATTCGAGGGGAACGCGTCATAGGACATTGTGACGTGGGGATATTTGCTTGCTGGCGTCAATTTTATCTGTGAAAATGTACTAATATTGGAAAATTGCGTTTTGACATTTTGCTTTTCATTTTCTTTTTTTTTTCAGAGGTTGACAAATTCTTAGCAGTAAAAGTCCTGGAATGTTTTGGATTTACTGGATCTGTAGCCTGTTTGATATCTATTTGTATTTTTATCTTTGGTGGAAGATGTTCTGAAAGTAAATTCATCACCGTGTTTAATATATTTTTATTCTTGGCAACTGGTAAGTACAACAGGTACTTTAATAGTTTTCGACTGACACAATTTAATCAAGAGTTACTGCCCTTTTGTCGCCATGTTGGAGGTGTATGTGCACAAATTCAAATTATTATACTGACCGCTAGATGTTTTCTGAATTTTATCCTTGCTCGATTCATCACTACAACATGTACAAACTAGTAAGGTTTTCTATTCAGACTAGTCAAAAAGAAAATTAACTATTTACTCCTTCAAATAGTTTTGACTTAAGTTTTGGTGTTTTAACGACACTTTCAGCTCTGATGGATATTTCGTGTCGGTCAGCTTTTATTGATGGAGTAAGCCGGATTGTCCGGAAAGAACTACCGACCTTTGCTGGGAAAACTGACAATCATTGTTAATATTAAGATTGGAGTCGAACGTACCTCCTGACCAAAGGTAAAGGAACAACTGTTTTGATCACAAAGTCACAAAGATGTGTTTTCACTAGTATATATTGGCAGATTACTTTTTTTTTTTGTATTTACTCTATTAAAGAAATTTTGAGTTAATTGAATTTTCATAACTTACAGGCACTGTAATCATGATTGCTACTATAATGTTCGCTACCATGATTAGTGATTTGGATTGGGCATTTGGTCTGGCCACTGTTGGAGGCGTTTGTTTCATTCTTGCCGGAATCTGTCAGATCGTTTACCTTTGCCAATACGAATAGCATGTAAGTTTAAGGAATGTATAGAGGAAAGACAACTCGAAATGGTTTTCCTGTAAAAATTACCATAAATTATACATATATACATGTATACTGAATACACGCTATTAAAAACAAAATCGTTTCATACCTTTTGTAGCCTTTAAGAAAAAAACGTGAAGAGTAGACGAACAACAATAACACAACATTACACAGAAAAAACAAAAGATTGAACTGGACGAACCTCCGCAAAAAAAACAGTGGTGAAATCGGGTACATTTGAAAGGAAAGTAGTTCTCGTTCCACTATAGCATTTATCTTGTTACTCGTTGCAACGTCGCATTGGCAACAAACACACAATTGTGAAGAAATCGCCCTTATAGAAAATAGATCCGTTGCATTGCACCCTATACATTATTTTATCCTATTTTCTATAATTCGTTTCATTATATAAATACAAAAACTCATCAAAGATGTGAATGTGATAAGCAAAATGCAATAAACCAAAAGAATCTCCAGATAGAATACGGAATCTATAAAGGAAATGAGAATTTGCAAACTTTTGGATGGACTGCAGACGAAACGCTCTTCTGGCGTACAAAATTATAAGCCTAAAAACTTTGATAAGGCATGTTGTATGATTGCAAATGAAACACTTATTAAACACAGGCCAAAAGGACCAGCTTATATAAGGTAACCGTACGGTCTTAAACAGTATTCATTTTTACAATGCGAGGCATCGGCGTTTTGCATTTGCCCCAATATGCACTTCATTTGCGCCAATTTTTTTTTCATTTGCGCCAATTTACAGGTAAACACAAGTCATGAAACATATACGTTGTATAGAATTTATTAATATAATAACAAAAATACCCATTCCTTCTGCCATCTGCCCCCTGCTCACCACGGGGAGGTGGAAGTGGCATTTCGAGCAGGATAAGTTTATTACAAAAGTTTCTAAAACTGTATACATCACCCTTAAAAAGCACTTTTTTAAATAAATAAGTAACAGTTAAACGTCAAAAGCACATTTGCACATTTACAAGTCTTTTCTAGCTAAGTATTGTTATGCAAAACTTCTGGTGAACTGCGACCTTGCGATTTCTTCGCTACTATACATCCGATACTTTTTACTAAAAAGTCATTTTTTTCCTTTTCATGTTTGCCACGTCGAGAGATCTGATTTGTACAACAGTTGTTGCCTAGATTTTCTTTATGACACCCATAAAATGTAAAAAAAACTCAATGAGCTGTACATATACATATACATATACATATACATATACATGTAACATATACATAAAAAATATATACATATACATAAAATATATACATATACATATAATATATACATATAGAAAGAAGATGTGGTATGATTGCCAATGAGACAACTCTCCACAAGAGACCAAATGACACAGAAATTAACAACTATAGGTCACCGTACGGTCTTCAACAATGAACAAAGCCCTTACCGCATAGTCAGCTATCAAAGGCCCCGAAATGACAAATGCAAAGCAATTCAAAATGTACATATAACAAAGCCATGTACTCATTGAACACAACTTATGCCTGCAACGTTCGGTTAACCTAAGTAACGGTAATTACCTAAAATGTATCAGATCTCACCTGGTCAAACTAAATTGGCGCTAATGAAAAATTTAATAGTTGGCGCAAATGAAAACATTGTTTCGGCGCAAATGAAAAAAGATGATATTTTCAAAATTGGCGCAAATGTCATACGCCCGCGAGGTATACAGTTGTTAGAGGGTATACCAAACAAGAAGTCGAAGAAAGGTAGACAACCCTAAAAAGACTTTTATCAATGTTTCCATTTTTGTTTGTTTGTTTTTTCTGATATTTATTTGCAGATTATTGTTTGTCTTTTTGCCAAAGTTTACTATGTATATACTCGTAAATTATTTCGTGCTGAAGAAAATCCTAAATTCTATATTCTTTTCATTATTTTTGTTTTTTTTTATATCCACATTTATAGGTTGGTATATTTCTTGCTGTTTGGCGGAATTAAATGCACGACTCCAATATATACTCATATGGAAGACATAAGAAATATGCTACGGGGATTACCAAGCATCATGAGTCGGAGACCAACAAAGGACAAAATACGAAAAGAAAAAAGTCAACAAAACTCTACGCAACCCTCTATCCTTAAAGCAAGCCAGCGATCATCATGCAGACCGTCACTGAGACGTTAGTTCTAGAAAAGAGAAACGAACACGTTACCTAGTATATATATATATATATATATATCTAAGACTGAGTGCTTACATTCACTTTATTTGGAACTCTGGTGGACAGTTGTCTTATTGGTTATCAATCCACATCTCCTTATTTTTTATATACGAACTCAACCAAATCAAATATATAGTACTTTATCATTTTAAGGATTTCAGTTTTCATATATGTTATGTATAAAATGGAAAATTAACATTGCTTATACAGGGGCGGATCCAGCAATTTTCAAAAGGGGGGTTCCCAACCCTGGATAAAGGGGGGGGGGGGGGGGGGGGGTTCCAACTATATGTCCCTATTCAAATGCATTGATCGTCCAAAAAAAGGGGGGTTCCAACCATCCCCCTGGATCCGCCACTGTTATAACGCATTTTATTTCACCAGGCTGCTCATAATGACGAAGGATATCTGTTATCTGAAATATTTATTGACTTTTGTATTTATTGTCTTATTTTTTTTATTATTGTTTTGGTGTTGACGTACACTTTTTAGACGTATTTTTTATAATTTATTTACTATATACAGTATCCGACACTCTCGTAAGAAGAATCATTGACTATTACCTATAGACGTTCTATATATATGTAGGACTCTGAACCGCAATGGTGACGCAGTTGTGCGATAGTTTGACGCTGACGACCGTTTTTTTTATCACGCTGAAGGACGATGGTGGCATTTTGACGCTATCTTGTCGAAGTGCGATGTACTACATAATATTTATTTTCAATGCTTTTCGTGTCGACATAGAAGTCAATTTGTTTGTTGGAAGCATTTTTTCGATTTTATTTTAGTTTATAATTAGCGCTTCTAAATTTTAATTACTACGGGAAACGAGGAGTGCTTAATGGAGAGGGGAAAGTTCACCATTTATAGCGGACTTATCTCGAAATCTATAAAAGGTTCTTTTTGCGTGCGATAGAGCATGGCATTCTATAAATACATACGGGTCTGCAGACAGAGGCTCTCCAAATTATAATATCAAAGAAAACGAGCAACCACTGAGAGGAACCAGGTAATGTAACATGTTAACGCAGAATTATGTTCATATACAGCAAAATCAACTCTCATTTAGTATACAACTGTAACTAGGACATACATAGATAATTACGTATGCAAGCTTATATACTTACTACATTGTATCAACATATCTACTTCTCATAATTATTAAATACCTGTAGATTTTGGACTAGCCATCACGCGTAATGTAGATCATCGCAAATCTGCGAACGGATCATCGAACTTTATAGTGACCATCGCACTTCGCTGTCCACATCGCATCTGCGAGTCCTACATCTACATATTATACAATTATAGCCTTTGTATGAGGTCGATACGAGGTTATATCGACCTAAGAGAAGCATACTGACTGAGGACGAAGTCCGAGGTCGATATGCTTCTCTGGGTCGATATAACATCGTATTGACCTCAACCAAAGGCTACAATTGTTATATTATTAATCAACAACTACTGCATGAACAATGTAAAATTGGGGATTTCTAGAATCTATTTTTAGTAACATACTGTATGCCCTGTGCAATATGCTGTTTTTGACCTACGAAAAGCAAAACACAACAGTATTGGCGTGCAAACTGAGTAAATACAAATGTACATGTGATTATGTTTTAACGAATCCCAAATCCTTAAAAATATTCGATTAATAATATATACATATATAGACTGCATGTATCGTAATTTTGTGTTCACTTTCTTGCTTTATATTTTAATGCCATTAAAAACAACAAATAAATGGGAGAGGAGAGAACGCACTTACTTTCATATTTATCATCGTGTCATATACAAATTGGGGGAAATGCTGTACAATTGCCAATGAGAGAACTATCCACATGTCCAAATTACATACATGTTAGCAAATATAAGTCACTGTACAGCCTTCAACAATGATATACCTTTGAAAGCATTCTATGGAATCATAAGTTCTGAAATGTCACTAAGTCTTTCTTGTTGACATCGTCTCTCAAAAAATTCCTTGACATCAGGCTTGTTTTCTGGCTACTAGATGTACAAATTTATAGTATTTTGTTTGGATAAAACAGAAAAAAAAAGCATAAATTTGCAACAATTTAAAACAATTCTGATGTTGTTTTAAAATAATAAAAAAAAAGCGAGATAGCTCTTAATTGATAAAAGAAAATCATGTGTCTCTGTAGTATTCATATTACTACATTGCAAATAAGTCTTCTGTGCAATGCAATAATTTATCTGAGTTATCTCGCCTCGTCTTACAATTCTTTAGTTTTTTGGTTAATATTATGTAGGTATAACAAAGTTATAATCGTAAGATAAAATAATATATTAGTAGTCATTTTCAACATAAACGTTTCAAATTTGGATAAAAATTTAAACCTATCAAATTGCAATTCAAAATTGTGACCATCTTATAAAGAAAACAATATGTGGTATGCCAGCTCCAGACGCCAGTATATTGCCATAGCCTTAGAAGAACGGCCAGAAATTCCATACCAAACGCAACCACCAGGTCGGAGCAAGAAAAAAGGGAAAAGAACAACATCAGATCCATCACTACAAGAATAGGTCCATGAAGTCCGCAATATCTACCGAGGTAGCCGGACTCTAAAACCCAACATCATCATGATAAGACAACTATACACCAGACACAGATGACGTAGATGTTAGCAACTAAAGACCACCGTACGGCCTTCACCAAAGAGCAAAACCCATACCATAAACTAAGCTATAAAAGGCCCTGACATAATAACATGAAAAACAATTCAAACGAAAAAACCTACGTCCTGATTTATGAACAAAATTATAAACGAAAAAAAGTATGATATACAGCAACAAACAACTACCATTAATTACGGCTCCCGACTTGGGACAGGCACATACAGAATATGGTAGGGTAAATCATATTTGCGGGCGCCCAACCCACACTTACCTGGTACATTGGTGTAAAGAAAGGCACAACGTAAGAACAATATAAGAATCTGTTGATTTCGCATTTCTTTTTCCTCGTCACAGCACAAACATTGTTATATTGCTTTCAGCGAAAATGTCCTGTTAGTGTATTGTCCTCTGAATTTGTATATTAAAATGAACTTTCCACTGTGTCTATTCCATGTTAGTGTAAAACACATGCACGGATCTTCACGTACACGTAATTTTCAAGTTCTGATAGTCACATATATATAGAGATCGAGTAATTTCAAAATAGTTATCTGATCTTTGATGAACCGGTGAATTACAGGTAATTATCATATTCCAGTACTTAAGAGGACCCCCTAATCCTTAATGTTGTTTTAGTCTAATTATCAAATGTTGGAGAAACGTGAGCACACCTTTTTTCATTTTTTTTTTTACATTTAAAATAATACATTCTGTCTTCCGTTTATGATAGTGTTTTGAAATCTACAAGTCTGTCGTATGTGACATTTAACAATTTATCGCAATTGAATAGTTGACATTGTTTTGGACAGGAATTTTTAAAAGTGATTATTCACTTGTTTTCATATTCAATAATTAAACTGTATTATTTAGGTTATGATTAATACAATAAATATTGTTTATACTAACAGTTGATATTAGTATAAAAAGTACATTGACAGGATAACATTAAACTTATCTTAAGTGTGGTCACTTAGAAAATAGTTTGAATAGTCTTAAAAAGACAGAGTACATTATAAAGTTTATAATAAAAGTTTTAAACCGTTGTCAATAATGTTTGTATCTAATGACTTACTGCAGTGTCTGCTATAAATAATTTGACCAATGCCCTATACTTATGCACAATTTTGTTTTTGGTGAGTATCAATGGCGGACTTACAATGGGATTTATGATTGACTAGTTGATTGCTTGGTGATCATAGGTGCAAACTGTCCAGTAATTAATAGATATAAGTAACGATAAATTGTTCAATGTTTCGTCGTTTTTTCGGGTTTTTTGCCATGACGTTGTCAGTTTGGTTTCGAATTATGAGTTTGAAAATTTCGTAAGTATCTTCCGCCTCTCTTTAACGTGTTATATTATAAAAACCCAGATCTGTTTTTGGACGACTTGCCGACTATGGAACAACTAGAATAAATTTCCAGGTATGTAACACATTAGTATAGGTTATTTAACTAACAAGGGTGTGCTTGATTATAAGTCATATCTGAAACAAAATACGATTCTATATTTCAAACCATTTTATTAGATCAAATAAAATTTAACAAGAAAACAGTGTTCCATGTTTCATGCATAACCAAACATTTTTTTCTTTCCCTTTGCTCATTACAACGAAAAAATGTTATGCATGTTTAGATTAGTCTAAAATAGCATTACAAGCAAACTAAAAATATTTTTCATTCTTCCTTATTACCAGAAAGGAGGCAAAAAGTATTAGAAAAAAAAAAAAACCCGCGTGACTAAAAGAAATTCTAAATTGCATTTAGTATGGTCTTTACCTTAAGTGGAAATCTACTTTTTGATTTCATCTAAATATTTCAAGATTAACGCCGTCATTTTCACTGCCGATACAACTGATATATTTGTCACTGGACATATAACAACAGTAAAGGAATTCGATTATGTTACGCATTTCTTTTGAAAATTGAATAAAAATCCCACCCAATATTTAACTTAAGCCTTATTCAAATGTTATCCATACCCTTCAAATTCTATTTACTAATACTATATTCAAATTATAACAACGAAAAAATAATATACCGAAATACGCCATTTTGACTATTTCAGTTTCTTGAACTATTTATTCTATTTAACCACAATATTATTGTAGAAACTATCCGAGTAATATTTCTTTTTTTAATGTACATATCAAAGTGGAACAAACGATTTTTGCTGTACAAAATCAAAATACAACATTTTAAATTTCAAGCAAATGATATCTTAAACGGGAAAAATAAAATCAAATCTGTAAGTGAAATATATTTTTTCTCTAATTTTCCTTATTGAATAATGTTAACGTGTTCAATATTACAAACGAATTCAACTTAGTTAACACATTTAATATTTTATAGATACACAGAAGAGGAATGGCACTCAATGGAAAATATTCGTTTTTACCCCCTTGAATACTATCCGTGACAGAAATTCAGCCAAGATTTGCATCGGAAAACACATTGTGGATAATGTTGTGGAATTTTAGTGAAAACGATACTATATGTTATACGATGGAATTACGACTCGCAAATAAAAGCTGTTTATTAATAATGAGATATTTAGTGTTCATTGTATTACTATGATCCCAATTTAAAAAAAACCAACTCCAGTATCAGCCGTTTTAGTAAGTT